TAAACCACTGCCTGTGATGCCAGATCATATATGATAGCACTGGTTCGAGTCCCAGTTGCTTTGCTTCCAATCCAGGACTCTGCTAATGCGCCTTGGAAGGCAGCAGAAGAATGGCCAAGAACTTGGAATCCTGCACCTATGTGGGAGACCTGAATGTAGTTCCTGGCCCTTGGCTTTGGCCTGGTCCAGCCCTGACTGTTGTAGCTTTTTGGGGAGTGAACAAGACGGTGGAAGATTTCTCTCCTGCCTCTCCCTCTCTGTAACTCTGCCTTTCAAATATATAAAGTAAACCTTAAAAACAGGCAAACAAACACATCTTGTGTCCATAACTCGGCTCCACAAAAAAGATCAGGATGGGAGCAGTCTAACATTGAGCTTTGCCCAAGAGTGTTTCTAGTTGTAGGCAAGCGGAGTGTTTCTTATGTAGGTGGTGAAGCTGAGACACAGCTGCCAATCAGAACTGCCAGGGAGCACACAAGCAGATCCCTGGGCACCACCCCAGGGTGTTGGGATGCACCAGTGCGGGGTTGGGTCCTGGCCTCCCTGTGTTTCATTGTCACAGACGGGCAAGGTAAGCGACGGTGTGAGATTTAGGCAAGTGGGGTCCCCGGGAACAGGGGCAGAGAACCTGGGACAGTTTTCTCCTTGAGCTTGCTTTTCAGAGGATGTTCCAGGGAGGCTGCCCTTGCAACACTGAGCTCAGAGAAGGAGCACCGTGGACAAGCAGAGCTGCACGAGACCCGTGTGAGTGCAATGCCGGCGTGCACCAGGTGTGAAGACGCGTGGTGCTACCCGTGCAGAGGATGCCCCTGCTCCCCCCTTGTGTATCCTGGGCACTCCTCTAAGTCCTGCTGTGGAACTCCTGGAGTCCGCTGGTCTGGGAGCCCGTTTGTCTAGGAAGCTGCACGTTCTCGCGGCTTCCTCTGCTGATCACAACAGACGAAGCTTTCCCGAGAGCAATTCTGCCTGGAGGCAGATGGGGACATCCGAGGGAGTGCGCCCCTCGTGGCTGCTGACAGTAATTCCCATGCAGCTGCTTCCCACTCTTGTTGGGGAATGGCCAGTCTAGAGAGGGAAGTGGGGGCACAAATCCTGGAAGCAACGTATAAGGAGCAGCAGCAGAGGGCTCCCAGGACCTACTGACCGGTTACATGGGCAGCCCACAAGACAGAGGTCCAAGCCCAGAGGTCACCAGAAAGCTGTGAGCGGCAGTCAAGGTGTCGCCCTGGAAAACTTCCAGTGGCATACACAGCACCACTTGAATGCCTTCTCTTCTTGCCACATGGACACCCTGTCTTCTCAGAGCCTGCCCATCCATGGAGGCTAATTCATAAAAACCCACCAGGCTGCAGGAGGCTCCAGACTCCAATGAAGCAAAACCACTGTGAATTTCCAGTGAGAATTTAGCCCTTCTATTTCCCTCCCTGGGCGAATTACACTGAAAGCCAAATTGTAACCCAAAAGCAGTGAGTTGTCTAGGATTGAAACTGGAGCAAGGAGGAGCTACCTGCATGACTCCAATGCTGAGGAGCAGCAGGTTGTGATAACTGAGAGCATCCTTCTCTGCGAGCTAAAATGTGGGGGAGTCTGAACAGACACACTTCCCATGGGCAACTCCGACTGGGCACAGCCACCACCTGTTCCAGGCGTTCTGCCAGGTTCCTGCTCCACCGTCACCAGAGGAGCTAATTCACTGCTCCCCGAGATCTGTGGCCAGTCTCAGCCAGGTGAGAGTCTCACCTTGCTCACCCAGGAGACAGGATGTGGTTTTGTGTGTCCCTCACTTGAATAGTGATGTATTTTGGGTCTCAGGACACAACTATTTTCCTTAACTCTGGACTTCTGGGTGAATCCTCCATCTACTTCAGTGTTGCCACATATAGTTCAATGTCATCCTTTTAACAAGGACTGGCCTCATATAGTAGAATTAGAGGCTGATAGTCTTCCAATTTTCATTTACTTATTTTAGTGGCAGAGAGTCAGATGAAGAGACAGAGACCTCATCTGCTGATTTCACTCTCCAAATGCCTGCATTAGCAAGGGCTGGGCTGAGACCAAAGCCAGGAGCCTGGAACTCAAGCCAGGTCTCCTACATAGGCCATCTCCATGGCCTCCATGGTTGCATTAGTAGGAAACTGGAGTTAGGACCTGCAGGTGGGTATGAAACCCAAAGATTACGGTGTAGGAACCAAGTGTCTTAACCACGGGGCTAAGTGGCTGCTCCAGAGGCTAATATTTTAATAAAGAATTACATTTCTCAAACAACATACAATCTCATGGTCAACAAAGACCCAGTAAACCATGAGAACATCAAGCTCTTACAAGGCCACAGTAACTGGGTCACTCTTCACCTGCTAGGAGCTTTCTAAAAAAGCAGGCAAGCAACTGTCCCCAGAAAACGAAGCCTCAAGCTCTGCACCTGTGCATCCCAGTCTCAACCTGCAAAGTCATGGCCCATGTCCCACCCGCACTGTAGCTTTACAGTGACATTGACCATGAAACAGGCTCTTGATGAGAGCTGAAAGGAGAACAAAGCATTTGGATCATGCTTGATATAGGTAACGAGAGAAATAAATCCAAACCACAACATTTGGTTGGCTTTTTCAGGGGTAGGATAGGAGTGGGAGTAGATGAACACCCTGTGAATTCATGTGTGCTGTGTGCGGCCTGGTGATATCAAAGTAGCCCTATACCAGAGGGGGTGGGGGAGGTGCCGGTGGGGAAGGAGCAAACAGGATGCATTGTCTCTGACCCCTGGGACTCCTGTGCCTGTCAGGCCTTTTGCCAGATCCTATTCAGACTTCTATTTAGAACCAGTTAAAGCAGGCCTTGAGTAAACACCCAAGGATACATCCAGAAGACAGTATTAAGGATTCTGCACGTGGGCCAGAGCAGCTGGATCTTATCTGCTATTTAAGATTTGGGTGTTTTTTTTTTTTTTTTTCTTAGTATCTCTGGGGTTAAAAAATTGGCCGTAAATATCAGCGGCTTTAGTTTCTCACAGAGCCAGAGCGCCTCCCTTTTCTGGTGTTCCCCCTTTTTCACCCAGGCCAGACCTAGCAAGCCCTTCTCCCTCCAGGACTCCCCACTGCCCATGGGCTATGGTTCAGGACCCTGCCTCCCCTCACTGTGGGGGCCCTCCTAGCCTGGACCCCAGCACTTCTCAACGCTGGTCCCCGAGTTTCCCCAGGCGGGAGCCCTGAAACACCTGTATCCTGTGTCCACCTCTTGCATTGCACCTTGCCAGGAAGAGAGAAATAGGCAGAGTTTGAAGCAAATTCTCTCCCTTTTTTGGCTCGGATACTTTGCTGGTTGTAGGAGCTCAGGCTAGACTGGTTGAAGAAGAAAGTAACAGCAACAGCGCAGAAAAGCCCAAGAGAAATTAAACCTCTCGGGAAGGCGAATCTGCTCCCGTGTTGTGTGCAAAAACACTTTGTAAGTTGCAAGATAGAGGTTTTCAAACTGTGGTGCGTTCCGGAGTTACCAGGAGAGCTCATTTCCAAATGCCCTTTTCCCAGCCTCACCCGCGGGATTCCGAGGCAGGGATTCCTAGGGTTGCTCGGGAATCTGCCTTGTTAACCACTACCCAGGTGACCTGGATGCAGGTGGTCCCAGGTGCACAGCTCACCTAAACACAGAGCCAGCTACCCCCAGAATTGGGTTCTGCCTGCACATTAATTCAAGCTACCTGGGTGGGAGTTTATTAGTGCTTTTCTGGTTCCCTGGTAACTCACCGGCTGTAGGATTGATGGAGAAGGCAGTGATGGTGGGGGAAGGACATGAAAGCAGGGAGTGAGAGCAATTAAAACCACCTGCCATCCACAGCCATGCTCCTCTGTGGACGAGGAAGGCGCTGCCAGCACCTTCCCCTCCTTCAGTGTCTCCCTAATTGGCTGTTGTGGCTATCATTTTGCCCCAGGGAGGTGAAAAGAGACAGGGAGAGAGGAGCAAAGGAAGCCCAGTAACTTAGAGCAGGAACAAAAGAGGAGCGAGCTCATTCCCAGCAGTGCCAAGGGAGGCTTGATTGGTCCCTCTCCCCGAGGTCTCTTTCACACCATCCCGTGACCTTTCCCCTCCTTTCTTCTTTTCTCCCCCAGAGGGACCAATAAACACGGGTTGTCTGCTTTATTAATGATGCAGGGACAATTCTAATGGCCCAGAATTCTGCCAGGAGGTATAGCTTGTGCCACTGCACAGAGGGGAAGTGCTCAGCCTTCTGGCTGAAGCAGGCTCTCCCGGAGAGGCGCACGCCGATGGCGTGGGATCCTCTGTCCCGAGACCTATTGAGTTCTTGTGATTTTAATGCCAGGGCCTTATAGGACCTGCATTCACAATTCACAATGTGTGCTGCAGACAGCTTACCCTTCACCGCGCTAAGTCATTTAAAGCAATTTCAGCGATACAGTGTAGCATAGTGATTAAGATTTCCTGGCTGCCATCCCAGCCCTGCAAATCGCTAGCTGTGTGACCTTGGGGGTTACACTGCCTCTCTAAACTGCAGGCACTAATCTGTAAAATTGAGATAATAATAGGACATCTCCCAACACAACTCACACACACACGCACACAGACACACACACACACACCCCTTCAATGGGTTGTTGTAAACATCAAATAAGACAATCTACATAAAATATAGTGCTTCACTCACAGGTAGCCTGCAGTAATGCTTGCCTCCACACTCTTAGACTTTTTGTCTGGAATGATCAACGTTCGCTATTTTTAAAAATTATTATCTGAGCAAGAATTAGCCTCGCCTCCCCACCCCGCAAGAAAAAAAAAAAAAAAACAGGGAAAAAGAAACATGAGAGTGTTTGCCCTCTATCTGCATGGACTTTCAGAGGCTCACAGCACACTGCAGGCAGGAAGACAGATGAGTTCCATCCCCAGGGAGGAACACACAACTGGGGAACCACACAGACATCGGACAACAGGATAAATCACTGGGCTGCTTACCACACACACTGTCAGCTAGCGAACACGCATCAGAAGTTTCTTACCAACAGTTTGGCCTCCATCCCTTGAGGGCTTTTTTAATTTCTGCAAACAAATGATATGCGTGAAAACAAACAGGACAGAAAACTGGGGGCTCTGGAGCTCCGGTGTGCTCTCTTGGAGCTCTGTGGCAGTGCTGCCAGCCGCCTGCTCTACCCGGTTCCTCCCAATGCAGTGCCTGTTAGCAGCAGCCCTTAGTGAGTGCAGGGTTACTAAGCAACTCAACTCCCACTGAGGCCTGCAGGAGCCAAAGTCTTGATTTGAAAACAAAAGAAGACCCCGAAAGGCCCACTAAGCAGAGCTAGCATTACAATCTGCTCATTTCCTTGTAGTGAGTTAATTCTCAAGCCAGTCTACCTTTACCAGACACGGCAGGCAGCCTCCTGGAGACCGGAGCAGAAAGCATGCAACAGTTTGCTAAAGTAACTGCGAATGGTGCTTTAATTACGGGTAAGGAATGATCTGTTCAAGCAGAGCCTGTGAGGCATCGCTCAGTTGTACACCTGAATGGAAGGGAGCTGCCATTTGAACAGATTTAACAGCTGAGTCAGCTTCGTCTTCACATTGCTCTATTGTTTTTCCTGCCGTTTATGTTACAAAGTATTGTAGTAAAAACATTACTTTTGAAGTAGCTAATGCAAAGAGGATGACACAAATGCTTGGCTTAAGAATCCTGCCAGGAGCAACACTTGGCTCAGCCGTAAGACTCCCCTTTGGACACGCACACCCCTTATCAGAGCACGTGGGTGGGGTCCCAAGTATTCCCCTCTGATCCAGCTTCCTTATAACGCACATCCCGGAAGACAGCAGGTGATGGCTCGTCCTTTCCACCTGTATGCATAGCATTCCTGGCTGCTGGCTTCGTCCTGTTCCAAACCCGGCTTTTGCAGCCATTTGTGGAAGCAATCAGTGAATGGAAGATGGATCTCTCTCCCTCTCTCTCTTCCCCATCTCTTGCTCTGCCTTTCAAGTAAAGTGCAAATTAATTTTTAAAAAGAATTCAAAGCAAATCTGTATGCATTTACAAGTTCCCTACATATCTCCCTAGGATGACAGAGTGAAACATTTTCTTCTTCTAATTCTCACTTTGATGAACATTTATTAAGCATTGGACTTGAGCAGCGCACGCAGGAAGCTCTAGAGTCGAAGGGGGAGAAGGAAGAAGAGATAAGACAAGGTGCAGCCTGTCAAAGAAGCGCCATCTTCAATGGAGTGGCAACCTTGCACATGGTTCACGCAAGAGGTGATGGAACGATTGCACTGGGTTCAAGGTATCCGATTAGAACGACATGTTTCTGACTTTGCCAGGGCAGGGCAGTACCGAGGGAGGGTTGGAGAATTAGAATTCCCCAACAGGAGAGAGCTTGGGTCTGAGAGTGGTCTGCTCATCCTAACATTTCTGCATGTGATGACAAACTTACATGCACTTAGAAACACCTTTCATTTTTACAGTGCATCAAGGCAAAAGAACTTGGGTTGGAGAAGGAGGCACCAGCTGCTTCCAAAACTGACAGGTGCAGCACCCACCTGTAGCCCAACAGACCCACGGGGAGGGAAGCTCAGCACATTTGAGACAAGCTGCTTACATGATCTTTCCCACTCGTGAGCCAGAACCTCAGATGCAGTGTGCAGAGAGCTGCCCCTACCCAGTACACTGCAGTGTGAGTGACGTGGCGTGCTGAGCAAGGCATTCTGGGCCGGGATGTTGCTGGCTGCCTTGGGCAAGTTAGCTCACTTCCGTAAGCTTCAGGACAACATCACTAATTACACGCAACTCGCTACCAAGCCATGTTTGAGCTTGAGACAAGAGGGAAAGAAAATGCATGCTCCAGATATCCTTATTAAAATGCCCTCCTGTACTTTGAATCAAGCAGAAAACGGCAATGGAAGCTCTCCAGTGAAAGAGCATGATTGTACATAAAATTCTGCATTGCCTAATCTGTTTGTACACCATCATCAACCCCAATGGCCTGGCTGGCAGGGGACACTGCTCACTGGGAATGACCGCCCCAGTTGCACAATATGAGGCTGAAGAACAAACAGCCTGTTCTTATTTAAAATTATGATGCTTTTGTCTCTCAATGAAGTTTTGCCTTAATTTTGATTTTTAAAAAATTATGTTAAAATATTTTTTATGTTGAGTATTGGGTTTTCTTATGCCCCCTTAGATTTTACACTTATGGCAAATGCTTCCCTTCTCCCCATCCTGAACTGGGTCCTAACGCAAATGTACTTGGAAGTCTTGTTGTTAAAGAGAAACAAATACTGTAAATTATCTTTATAAAATTCACACTTAAAAATAGTAGGCATTGCTGTATGATCTTACAAAACCTGCTGAGATCCCCCAAGTTTTACAAAACGAAAAAACTTTGCCAGGAGCCCCTGGAACGCTCCTGTAACATGCACGCTCGGAAGACAGTGTGTTCTCAAATCAGCCTCCAGATCCGGCCCCCAAGGAAGTGGTGATGACATTTAGCCAGGATGTGCAAGAAGAGAGGTGCTGGCCCAGCTACAATTTCTCCTCCAAGTTCCGGGGATCCCTTTGTGAGTTCCAAGGCAATCTACAATCTGACGCCCACTCGTCTCTTTCAATCCCCAAGGATTACACTTAGAAACATTTTACTCTAGGCAAGTACCCATAACTAGCCTCTAAGTGCAGAGTTCACCAATAGACTCCTAGCAAAAGCTTTAATGCCTCTCTTGTGTTCTGCCAAGTCCTGAGGGCTTGCTTGACTACCTGTGCTGTGACTGGGTCTCCCCTAGCCAGATAACCCCTCTCTCAAGTCCAGTAGTGACTCTCAGGGTACAGCTTTCTGGCAGGAAAAAGAGCTTCCCAGACCACAGTGTTCCCAACAAAACCACACCACAAGTACTTCCGGAGACCTGGGTACACTGAGCTGCTTCCCTAGCTGCCAAAAGCTGTCCTGGGAGGGCTCCAGCAAACAGACTGCTGGGAGACGTCTCTGAGAATGCATTCCGGGGCATTTTGACAGCCAGCACAACTAAAGCACCAACGGACAGTTACAGTCACCAGCCCTTGAAAAAGCAGCAGCGGTGATGTGAGTGAGGAAGTATTAATTTTTTTTTTACACGCCAGGCTCTTGTCATGCACAAACATGCTATGTGCTGACACAAACAAGGTGTACAGAAAGGCTAAGAAAGTGAGTGCTCACACACATGTGAGTCTGGGTTTCCCCACACAGAGAAATACCCACCGTGCCTGGGCAGTGGACCAGAAGATTTGCCCCGAGGGGAACGGGTGGGGAAGGGGAGACAGAAAGAACTCTTGGTGGTGGCCCCTGTGCCCAGGTCTCCGGTGGGCCAGAGGGAGAGTACCTCCCAGTTGTTGGTCTCCCTTATGGGGTAGGGCCCTTTCTCTCCAGGCAGGAAGCCACCCGAGAATTACACAGCACCCCCGCAGGTTCCACATGGAGCCCAATCTCCATATTTTCAGGGTGTTTCCCTCATGTCCTCATTTGGGAAAAGGAGCATCTTGACTGACAAGTAGGAGGAGAGAACTACACACACACGGGGGCTTGTGACTTCCGGGTCAGCAATCCCAAACTGACTTCCCGCCTGTGTACCCCACATCAGCTTGGCTGTTTCTGACCACCTCCACTTACTCTGCAACACGGTGTCTGGAGGACAGAGAACTAGGCCTTGCTTTAGCTTTTTTGTCCCCTTGGCTGTTTGCAGATTGTGCAAAAAAATCCTGCAACTTGTTAAATATTGAAAACATATTAGTCACCCAAAGAAAAAGCGCTTACGAGAGCAAAGAATGGACAAAAAGCAACACCTAGATGCAGCACAGGGCTTCTCACAGCCGATGAATTTGCAGACCGCATACGCTGGACCCCATTTCATCTGGTTTCCATGGAGACCAGCGCCCTTGGTGGCCTGGGTGTTGAAGGCTTTGCGAGCCTAGATGAGTAGACGCGAGCTCCGTCTTAGCTGCCCCTTGCTCTCCCACCTGGAACCCCACCTTGCTCACTTCCTCAGAGTCACCGAGGAGCTCAGCCTGGCCTGCGTCTGACTCGCTCTCCACTCGGCTTGTCCTCTGTCTGCCTTCTCTGCTCTGTGCGGAAGCAAAGCCACAGCTTGTGAGATGGGAAGCGGAAAAAGGTAAAAAATTAGAACACCAGCGATCAACCAGGAAAACACATAAACCTCCAAAAATCCAAAGCAGCTTTTGATGTAGCTCCTTCTGGATTTTCCCCTAACCCCCTCTCCTCATCTCTTTCTTCTCCGTGTGCTTCCCACTTATTTGAAATACCGCTTGCATAGTAGGTCCCCGTGCATCCTGAGGTGTGCGTTTAGACTCAGTTCCAACGACGGTTTTTTTCACATTGATTCAGAGTTCTGAGGCCTCTTCAAACCTTTGAAATGTGGTTTGAGAAGACGTAGGGGACAGGAGCCATCCACCCTGAGAGTGTGGTGTTCTCAGTCTCCCAGTCTTTGACCAGAACAGCTCTGCTATTTCTTCATGTATTTGGGCTTCTGTGTGAGATCTGGTTTGAGACTGGCTGCCGTAAAAACGCAGCAATACCCCACACACTCTGTTTCGTTCTCCTGTGGGACGTGTGCTTTGGAAGCCGTTAGTTGGCTGTCACGACACTGCTACTCCTGCTTGGAGGTCACAATGGCTTCCTGTGGCCTTGGGGGCAGTTGTTCTGTCTCCACATCGTATGTAAGCACAACAAGAAATAGACACCCCCGCCTCACTGCCGAGCCCACCGCTGGGGTGACATGCCCTGGCAATGCCTCCCTCCAGCCCAGGCAGACTGAAGAGTTCTCAGAAGGTCTCCGGGCACCCCTGGCTGCTCTCAGTCAGAGGCAGTGCCTGAGATGGGGGAACCCCACGACTGCCGAACCCAACACAGGACCCCAAGGCTGCCCACAGAACGCGCTGTAATTCTTGCTATCGCGACTGCACCATGTACAAAGCCTTTTTGCACCTCTCTGTTCACCCTCCTGCCCTGCATCCCCCAGGCTCACTCCTGAAACTCTCCACACCTCCCTACCACTCATCTTCTGCTCCGGGAGCCCCCACTTCCCAGGAGCACGGAGGGTACAGCTATCCTTTCTGGGTGGGGCCGCTCTCTGCTGCTGTGGACCAGAACATGGCCTTGATTCGTGCCGGAGCAAGCACACAGCCAGAGTTTCATGTTGGTATGTGTTCCAT